ATATATATATATATATATATATATGTGATCATTAACTGTAATTAAAATAATTATCTATATGTGGTCTTATAAACAAATTTTAGATAACTTCAAAGTTGAAAAAATAAAGATAAAGAAATCTATTATGTTTGAAAATTAAAATTCCGAGTACACATTCACTGATTAGCACAAAATTCATTTTGTTGGTTGTCATTAACATGAAAATGCAATCGTTTTTTATTTATTTATTTTTTTATCAGCACAAATTTGCTAATTTACCAGAAATAAAAAACATTAAGCATCTACATACTCGATTACATTTTTTTTGTTGAGGCCCAGTAATTATTTATAGACTTTTTTTTTTTAATTCCTTGCATTCACTTGTATTTTCTACACCATTCTTTCTCTCTCTCTATATATATATATATATTATAAAAATTTATCATTAAAAAGACTATACAAAAGTGTTTTCATACAAATAGTAATTTGTATGTGATTTTTTTTTTTGACATATACTGCATGCCTATGTGGTACATATGTGTATGCACATGTGTGTGTTTGACTCATTTAGATTATTAAGTCCAATTCAAGTCCTGAGTTTTTTTTTTAATATATTAAACACACGCCAAAACTGATTAAACATTTAATGAAATGAATCGAGTAATTAAACTTTTTTATTCCCCTACCTTATGGAAAACAATTAATTTCCAGGAAAAAATATTCATTCTCACATATAATATTTAAACACATAATCCCATTGAGAATAAATATGGATCCCCCAAACCAACCATTTCTTAATATATATATTTTTTATTTCAGCACAACTTAATTTTTCAAATATAACAAAAAAACAGTATTTAGGTATGAAAATATAGAAAACTCATAATTTAAAAAACGAAAATATCGGAAAGTCATCATTAAATTGTTTTCATTTGTTCTGAAAAACCCAGGAAAAAAAGTAAACAAATACATTAATGATTGAATTTTGCTAGGCTGGGCCATATAAAACAGGGCTTTTGGAAGCAGACTAAGCTGGTTGGGCCCCCATAAAGCATTTAGTTTTGTAAAAAAAAAAAAAAACAGAATGATGGAAAAGAAAAAAGGAAACCCTAGTGAATAAATAGAGGGGGAGGTGTGGAGATTGGGGCAAAGGAGAAAGAGGAAAAGAGGATTGGAGGGTGACCACGTTTAGCAACACGCAAACCCTCTTTACTTTTTCTTCTTCTCCTTCTTCTAGGGTTTTAGCTCCACTCCTTCCCTCGCGCCTCTGCAATGAGCAACGACAAGGATACCTTCAACGTCGCCGATCTCACCTCTGGTACTTCACTCATTCTCCTTTGCTTTTTATTATTTCTATTCCTTTTTGCTTATTGCTCTTGATTTCTCCCTGAAGCTCTCAACGAGGAGAATCGAGCAGACCTTGTTAATGCCCTTAAGGTTGGTTTCATCTCCTTCTCTATTCTTTATTGTCAACTTGAGATTGAGTTTTTAATTTATCAACTTTTACGTGTTAATTTTGGTTTTTTTGTATTCTATGTGTAATTTTTTTTTTTTGATGTTCAATTGTTTGCAGAGCAAGATTCAGAGTTTGGCTGGACAGCACTCTGATATTCTAGAGTCTCTGTCACCGAATGTCAGGAAGCGCGTTGAGGTTCTTCGTGAGATTCAGGTATAGTTATTTGCTGCTGTAACCTAAGTTGTTTGGATTTCTTGATAGATGTAAATTCAAGTTATTGTTTTAAAGGAGTTGGGGTTAGTAGATGTGAAGTGTTTTTGTAAATTTTTTGTGTTGATGGGTGAGATATGCATCACGATAGCATTTCTATGATTTTGTTGTGTGCTTCTTTCTGAAATTTATTTTTTCCTCTAACCTTACAGGGTCAACATGATGAATTGGAGGCCAAATTTTTTGAGGAGAGAGCAGCTCTCGAGGCCAAGTACCAAAAATTGTATCAACCACTGTACACAAAGGTAAAGCTAGCTAGTTTGATTTAATGCTATATAACTTCAGTTTTATAATCGGCTTCTTGAACCATGCAATTTTTTTTTGATCAATTTGATGTAATAATTAATATCTTTATCTCTGAACTTGTTATGATTGAATGCAGCGGTATGAAATTGTTAATGGTGAAGTTGAAGAAGGGGCAGTGAATGAAACAACACCTGATAATGAGGAGGATAATGGTAATAATTACAAGTATATTATTGGTTTTGTCTCTCAACAGTGTTTCAATTCCTTAATAGTTGATACGAGTATTTTTCTTGTGTAGAGAAAGGAGTGCCTGCATTTTGGCTTAATGCAATGAAAAATAATGAAGTGTTAGCAGAGGAGGTTAGCCTATTGTATTCCACAGTTAACTTTTGTAATATACTTATATGATTACATTTTGCAACTAAGTTTCATGCCTAGTCGTGTTTTTATTTTCTTATGAAAATAGATTTCGGAGCGTGATGAAGGTGCTCTCAAGTTTCTCAAAGATATAAAGTGGAGCAGGATAGAAAACCCCAAGGGGTTCAAGCTTGAGTTTTTCTTTGATACCAATCCTTATTTTACCAATTCTGTGTTAACCAAAACATATCACATGATTGACGAGGATGAACCAATATTGGAGAAAGCAATTGGGTAAGCTTTAGTATTATTGTAAATGCTATCTCGCTGTTGTTCTGGTTAGTTTACTATCATGTCAAAAGGGGTTGGCTTATTAAATAATATTTTTTTGCTGATTTCCCCATTTTTTTTCTTTAAACTTTTAGGACTGAAATTCAGTGGCAGCCTGGAAAATGCCTGACACAGAAGATTCTTAAGAAAAAGCCTAAGAAGGGTTCAAAGAATGCTAAACCAATCACCAAAACTGAAGGTTGTGAAAGTTTTTTCAATTTCTTCAATCCACCACAAGTTCCTGAAGATGACGAAGACATTGATGAAGATGCGGTATTGATATTTATTTAAGATTAACACGAGTAGAAATAAAAATCTGTGAATTTAAATTTTTAGATTGTTTGCTATATGTATGACTATTTTTTCTTTGAAACCTTGATTAATTTTATTTTTTTTTGTAAATAGGCTGAGGAACTTCAGAATCAAATGGAACAAGACTATGACATTGGGTGAGCTTAATTACTTTTTACCTGTGTTAGTTGTGGCATGTATTCAGTTTCAAATTTGTGACACATTCCCTGCTGAAGTGTAATTGTTGACTTATGTTGATCTCCTTGCATCTTTTGGTATTCTATAATTGATTTTTGAATCTTTTGTTTAAATTTGTTGGATTGTCCTTGTGTAGGTCAACAATAAGAGACAAGATTATTCCTCATGCTGTATCATGGTTTACTGGGGAGGCCATTCAGGGTGATGAGTTTGGAGACTTGGAGGAGGATGAGGATGATGATGATATTGAAGAGGATGACGATGAAGAGGAGGAGGATGATGAAGATGATGATGAGGATGAAGATGAAGAGGAAGAAACCAAGACTAAAAAGAAGGTATAATTGTCAATTGCTTTTAAATTTCTAATACCTGGTTTGTTTTTCATTCTTTGTGGAATCCTTAACGAATTTTTTTTTGTGGGATCCCTTTGGTGTCAATTATTTATAATGTTGCTGCAGTCATCAGCACCTAAGGTAAGAAATTTTTGTGATATTAATGAAGTTTAAATTTGTGATTTAAGTGATGGGGTGTATGTTACTGAAACACAGGATTTCACACTTGATTTTATATCACCTTGCACTATTTTGGCTTAATGATGTTGGGGTTATGGATTATCAATTTTTTCCGTGCTGGCCCTGAAATTTGCATGCCTGAGTTTCATTTTATTGTTTTTTTCCCCTCTTTTTCAGAAGAGTGGAAGAGGAGCACAGCTTGTTGATGGGCAGCAGGGTGAGAGACCTCCAGAGTGCAAGCAGCAGTAGAAGTTTGTTTCTGCAGGAGGGTAATTTATGAAGTTGAGTTTTGTTGGTGTTCGAGAATGTCTGATGTGAAAGTGGGTTTCATGTGGTTTTAATGTTTCTTAATTGATTTTTCTCCCAAATCTTGGTAGTCTGAATTTGTTGAGAGTCCCTTCTCCTATTTTGCGCCCGTTAGAGAGAATGTGGTTATATAGTTAGGATGCTGTGTTTTGTTTTTGTTGGAATTTGTACTTCCATCTGGTATACTTGAAATATAGTTTGTTTCTTTAACTAGTAATTTTTGTTATAGAACTTGATCATAGCTTGTTCAGCATTGTTTTAAGTATTTAAAGGGACGTTTCTCCGCAATATTAGTGCTGTTTACTCGTTTAGTATCGATCGCGTTATTATGGTAAATTTTCACGCCGTGATTTTTTGATGTCCAAATCTAAATTCAAACAAATTGGGTTTTTGGTTTTTCTATTTTTATTAATTTACAATATTGGTCCATATCTATTTTAAAGAAGAAATATTTAGTCGTTATTTTTAAAAATAAGAAATTAAAATAAACATATAACTAATATTTTATTAAAATAAATATAAGCAAATTCTTTTATGTTTTTCCTAATTATATTTAGGCTAAAATTTTAATTTGGTCCTTTATAATATTAAAATTTTTTAATTTGGTCTTACTTTATTTTTTTGTTTCAATTCAGTATCAATTTATTTAAAATACTTAAATGTAGGTCGTCCAAATTTAATAGATGATGTTAAAGATTCGTGAGAATTACATATGTGATTTTAAATCACGACTGTGATTCTCGTACTTGGTGTTAAATCACACGTTGCAGTGGCTAGGTGTGACCATGCTGCACTGTGCCATCTCGTTTCCACCATCCCTTGCCTCGCCAAGCTTGACGAGGTCAACATTGAGGCTGAATCGCACGTGACGGAGCTCAAAGTCGACCAAGTATTCACGCTCATCGATTGTTGTGACGTTCCAGGAAATGGACGCCATCTCTGCCAAGATTCTCATGTGCGTCGGCGCAGATTGGAGCCTCCAGAACGACAACGGGTGGAGCATACTCCAGGAAGTCGTGTGCACGAGAGGAAGCCATTATCGTCATCATTATGCGCTACTACCAACCTCTTGCTTGAGCCAAGGGGTGTCGAGGCTCCCTCGCATTTGTCGCTTCCGCAGCACGAATCCGCGACTTCTATAAGGAGATATCCTTCAATTTTGAAAGCTTTGTCATTCCCTTCCAACTTTCTTCGTCACGAAGGGGTTGTTGCAGTGGTCCACGACGACGTCGTTTGCCGCATCGACATCTTCGGGAGGGAGAGGAAGAGGCGGCGGTTTCACTAATGAGATGATAATTAGGCAGAGGGAGGTGTACGATAAGGTGGAGGTGAACTTGCGGCAAGTTTCGAGGTCGGTGGTAATCGAAGAACGAAGAACGAGAACAAGAACGAAAAAAGCACTCTCCCACCTAGATTTAATACCAAGTGTGAGAATCACGGTCGTGATTTGGAATCCCGAGCGTGATGATTCTCACGGACCTTTGACGTCGTTTGTAAAATTTGGATGGAAGTCTCACATTGAAGTATTTTAAATAAATTGGGACTAAATTGAAACCAAAAATTAAAGTAGGATCAAATTAAATTTTTTTAATATTATAAGGGACCAAATTAAGGTTTTAGCATTATATTTATGTATCATTAAATATCACATTATTTAATGATAAATTATTTGAGTGGGGAGGGGTTTGGGTAGTTAGAAGTATGAGAACTTAGGTTTAATTTTCATTGCGATTAGGGGTGGCAAAATAGGTCGTGGTCCGTAGGACGGTCCGTTGGCTCGCAAAAAATTGACGAGTTGAGTCCATCATTCTAACCTATCAAGCCTCCCCATTAAGTTCGTCAATCTGTCAACAATTTTTTTTGTAATTTTTCTTTTGCATTTTTTTAATGTAATGTGGGTTGGCTTGTCAGCCCGTCAGTCCGTTAGCCCGTATTTAGGCAGGGTGGGTCAACATTCTCTGCTCGTTTTTCAATGGCGGGCTGGGTTAGCCTAACCTCTTTTTGATGGGCCATTGGCGGGCTGGGCCAAAATGGACCGGGCTGACCCGTTTTGTCATCTCCAATTGCGATCATATTTGTAATCTTTTCCATTTTTACAAAAAAAAAAAACATTTAAGGGATGATTAAAAAAAATTTATTTTAAAAATAGAGATATTAAATATTTTATTTTAAAATAGAAGTATCAAAATTGTAAATTGACAATCATATAAGGATGAAAAGTGTAATTTTGTCAAACAAATTGGACAATCTATTTACAAATTTTAAAGAACTATCGCATTTTCGCACTAGTAATGTAAAATCTTAAGCAATTCGTTGAACATTGTTTTAAGTAATTTAAAGGGAAGTTTTTGCACAATCTTAATGTAGTAGTTAAGTATTTGTAGTGTTTGTAAAGAACTTAATTCTTTTAACAGACATTTTTATGTTGTCTTAGGCTCTTAGAGCAACTCCAACGGTATCTTAAAAATAAAGGATAGAGCTTACAAGAAATTGTTATTAGAGTGATTTGACATGGCAAGAAAATATGAAATTTTTTTAGATCTGTTCCTTCCTCAAGATATAGTGCTTGGGATTGTGAAATTTCAAATGAAGAGCTCACAATGGTTCATCCGGTTCATCCCTCCATGCTGGAAGCTTCAAAATTACTGCCGTCAAGTTTGTGGGAACTAAAATGTCTCCTCTACCCCCAATGTCGTGAACCGCCGTGCCTAAGAGTGGAGTCTTAGACCGCCATGCCAAAGAGCTCCCAACAACATCTCCTCCACCCCCAACGTTGCGAACTGTCGCATTGAGGAGCAGAGCCTCTGACTGCCACGTTGGAGAGCTCCCCACAATGTCTCCTCGAACTACCTAGAGGAGCGTGTTTAGATGATCCTGAAACCGGGTGAAGGTGCTGCGTCACGCTTGCCATCCCACGTCGTGATCGTCACCCCATGTTGCGCTCCCACACCCACGCACCCACCTCCCCATGTCTTCCCTCGCACCATACCCCATTCCCCCAATCGCGGCTCCTGACCCCGTGTTGTGCCTGTCACACCCCCCAACCCTAAATATCATCTAAAAAGTGGAGATGCTTATAAGTAACTCTCCTTACAGCAAAAATTATAAAAAATGTAATATGAGTTGCTTACGAGTGATGTCACGTAATGAGATCCATTTAAAGTGTATAAAAGTTGTTTATAAACTACGTTCTTAGCTATATATATATATATATA